CTTGAAATCAAAAGTCATCACTGATACGGTGTTAGAGAAGATTCAGAGGTCTGATTCATGCCTACTCAGTAATTCATTCTCTGGAAGAAGTGAGGGCAGACTCCTCACCAACCTGGTTCTTAGTTTCCACATTTGTAAAATAGGGTTAGTTCAGCAGTATGCTGTGGAAAATTAGCCTGTGAGATGTTCCCTGAATAAAGGATTCTTCCTATGGAGAATCCAATCGCATCTTGGCCTATTTAAATTTCTGGAAAATCCTCCAGTGAAGGATTTAATTTAATTTTAACCCAGCATTTCCCAAACTTAATTATGGAAAGTGTTTCTGAAAATATTAATCATCCACAGAATACCTTGGGAAGAGACAGTGGCTCCAAGAGTTCATTTTTCTTTGACTTGGCACCTGGAGTTTGTCAATAAGCACATACATGAGGCCTTTGAGGAGTTTCTGTGTTAATCCATTATGGTAGGGGCTCTTAAACCTCAGGGCATAAAGAATGATTTGGGGTGTTTGTGATAGTGCATATTGCTGCACACAACACAAGATCTATGAATTCAGAATCTTCCAAGATGGAACTAAGAAATCACTCTCCAGGTGATGATGTTATAGGCAGTCTTCAGTCCACAGTATGAGGAATACTACCTTATATTTCAGTGAAAAATACCTTCCAGTGGTTTATGTTCTTTATCATTGGAAGAAGCTGGAAGTCAGTCACAATGCTACATCCCACTGGCTGGACCATTCATTATCTCCAAAGAGTTGCAAATGAAGCAAGCTCATAGACAAGTTGTGAGTGCCTACTTAAAACCTACTGAATATCTCTGATCCCAACTTCAAAAAGAAAATAATAGAATGTGAATATGTCTTCAGCTGTAAGTATGAGGTCAATAGTTTGGACAAAATTTAGTTAAGGCTGAATACATACTAAAAGGGGCAATCTCTCAGATGTCTCTCATTCCTGATAGCCATGTATAGCTTATTCATTCCTCACCATAAACTGAGTCAGTGGAAATCAAGGTTACAGGAGTAGGAAAAAAACTTAATTTAATTAATCTAATTTTATGACTTATTAACAACTAAAAGAATCTGATGATAGGAAGGTTGGAATGAATAGCTAAAGTTATTTTTTGCCTATCTGTGAATTTCATTTGCTCTTATAATCACAAATGATGAAAAATTAACTGTCAGAATTTTCAAAGGACAACAGAACATGATAGAAACAGAAATTAATCAAGTCATCATCTTCTGGAACATCTTTTTCTCTGTTTGAATTCTTCAGGTAATAAGATGAAGATAACAATATTGCATTTCCTCACAACATCCTGTACATTTTTAACAGGAAAAAGGTGAGTTGTGATGACCAATGGCATTTATTAAGAATAAGCAAATCTTTTGTTCCTGGGTTACTAGTTATATTTACTATAAGAAAACCCTACAAATGGCTTGCAAGGCTCAGGAGAATTCACTTCTCTCTTTATAGCTCAAAATGTACCGATAACTTGTTTCACTTGCAAGGATCACAGTCTCAGGCTAGCATATTGTTTTATTTTATTTTGATAACCAGAATTATAACCTCTTTACAACAGGGAAGTGGTGATGAACAGCACTGTGCTTATTCCTCAACTCCATAAAACTGGCATCCTGACATGTATTTGTATGGGCTTCATATAACAAAACATGGAAGTCTTTCTTTTTGAAATACTTCAAAATTTCCTGTAACAGATTTACCACCTTTGCTTTATTCCTCTTGCTATGCAATTGTTTTGACTTAGTATATAGGTGGTGCAAAAGTGATACTCATTCAATATAAACTGTACTCCAAATTTTGAACTTTTCTGTCTAGCACTATGAGGTACAATACTCTTGTGATGCTGGGCATCATGAGGGTAAACAACTGATATACCCACTGTCATTCTATACTCATGCAACCATTCTATTTTTCACCTTCAGTACAACAGTCAATAAATTACATGGGCTATTTGGTACTTTATTACAAAACAGGCTTTGTGTTAGATGATTCTTCCCAACTGTAGGCTAAGTGTACTGAGCAAGACTTACAAGGTAAGCTAGGTTAAAACTATGGTGTGCCGCAGGTTAGGTATACTAAATCCATTTTCAACAAGATTTATTTTACCTTACAATGTAACCCCGTTGTAAATTGAGGAAGATCTGTATAGAGTTAAAAAGTTAGTGCCTACCTCATCAATTTCACAAAACCATATCTAATACTATTTACATAAATTTAAATTTTAATACTATAACTTTCATGTATGTTTCCAATATCAAGAGTTAGATTTTAAAATGTCATAAAACTGATATAACAGTCACTTTACAATGCAGAGTGCACTTACACACACATTCTTATAGGAATCAGCAATTGTCTTTTTTTCTTTACCATAGCACTGCACTGTCTCAAGGGTGGCAAAAAGCCTTAGGACTGTTATATAATTTCTGGAAAATACACATGCTGACCCATTGAAGAGTCACTAAATAAAGCGTGAATATGTTCCTTTTTTTTTAAAATTTCAAGTCCTCTTCCCCATCCTCATCACTTTTCAGGCCCTTCCTATAAGACTACCAAAAGCAAAAACTATAGCTGTTCAAAAGTAGAACTAAGGAAATAAAAATAATGAAGCTGAACTGGATTTCATTCTATTTAGAGTACATGGCCTACAGTGGAGTTGTTTTTACCAGGATGAATTTTTCAGGTTTGGATCATTCATTTGGTCTCTGAGAAAAGGACATGATTTGTGTCTCTGAGGCACTTGTAATTTTCCAATTGAGTTCCCAGTTGGCTTACCTAACTCCGTGGGCCCCAGTGTGCAGTCCACACCTGAAAAGGGGGAGTTTTCAACGTTGTGGTTTATTAACCAGGTACTTTCCATTCACTCAATTAACAATTAGAAAACAGAAATAAGAGAGAGAGAGAGAGAGAGAGAGAGAGAGAGAGAGCGAGCACCTCCTACTTATTTTTTTTTTTACTTCAAATATGGAGATGGAAACTATTAAATAAGGAAGGAAACTCCCGCATATTTCACCTTGACCTGGCTGGACTGGTCTGATGCCTCTAAGAGGCGGAAGCTCTGTGAGTTTGGCCAGGTTGCGAGTGGAAAAATGAGAGGTCAGACTTCACTACGGGCAACCACTCCTGCCCCTAGAGGAAAAAGAAAGCCATCACCCTGTCTCTCCGATTGGAAACAGTGCCTTGTTTTCGATCTGGAGGACGGGGTTGCCTCCCTCGGTCTAGCGCGCTAGTGACAGGACATAAGGAGGCGCGCGGCTTTCCCGAGAGTTGCTCAGCTCCCGGCTTACACCTAAATTTCTAACTTGCAAGCAGGCAAAAATGCCCTCCTACCTCTTTTCTTTAACTTCTCTCTCCTGTTTTGTTGCCCTTTGTAACTTCTTTGTTCCGTTATTAGGAAGGCGACTCTTAAGGTCAAAAGACCCATTGTAAATTAGGAAAAGCCCAGAGCCACTGGGAAAGAGCAGGGCTGAGGCTCCGAGTGGAGGAGCCGCGATCAGTTTTGCAGTCAGAGTGGGCAGTGCGCACCGGCGGAACAGAGGGTGTTGGGGGCGGGGAGAGGCCCGTGGACTCCACTTTCTATGCTGCAGCTGCCGGCCAGTGAGTGTCTCCGAACAAAGGAGCGCACAGCGCCGGGGTGAGAGGCTGGTTGCGCGCGACTGCCATTCCTTCCTCCACATCCCTTAGGAGAGCCCTGGGGAGCAGGGACCGGGGAGGAGAGGGAAAGGGAACAGGGCGTGCGATTCCTGTGGCGTGGCCACGCTTCAGGAGCTCCTGTGAACGACGGGAATGGCAACGATCAGAGCCGAGGGGGAGAGAAAGAGCTGGAGTGAGCAAAACAAAGAGCGAGTGTGGGCCGCGGTGACTTCATGCCTCACCAATGTCCCGCCCACGCTGCTCCGAGCTGTTGCTGCGGCCGCCGGAGCCGCTGCAGAGCCTGCAGGCGGCCGGGCTACACGCGGGGTAGCGTGGGGCGGTTTCCTAGCAACTCGCGGCCCCGAGAGCGCCCAGTTATCCACATACTGGGAGTCCCCCCCCGCCCAACCCCGGGAGCCAGGGCAGGAACACTGCTCCCCGCCTCTCGCCAGCCTCGCCTCTCTCGCATCCTCGCCGGGTGCACCCCAGCTGCCTGGGCTCTGGACGGTGGGAAGCCTGAGCCGAATACTGGGGCCAAAAGGACGAGGGCACGAAGCTCCCGCCCCGCAAGGCCGGGCTCCTGCACCCCGAGGAACCTCCCCTTCTGCGCTCGCGGCGGTGCGTTCTACTCCCGGCCAGGCAGGGAGCTGCGATGCCTCGCTCCGAGTCCGCGGGCGTCGGCGGGGGCTTCTAGGGCGCTCCCAGAGCCTCCTCCCCTCGCTGCTGGCACCCCAAGCTTCCTCCTTCGCCAGCCAGGACGCTGCCGCTTCGACTTTGACCGCTGCTCAGCTGAAGAGGCTGCAAAGCTGCAAACAAGTGGAGTTGGCCTCCCTGCCCACCTGTGGAAGAACCTCGCGGTGGCTGGTGCGCCATCGACTTTTCCCCCTTTCGGCCTCGCCGGCGTCCCCTCCCACAGATGCAGCATCACCCACTGAATGTAGCATTAGGCTGGTTTTTCCCCCTGGCTTCAGGCTTTGTTTGGGTTTGATTTTGTTTGGCTTCTCGCTAAGCTGATTTATGCAGCAGAAGCCCCATCAGCTAGAGAGAAACAAAAGCTCTTTTCTTTGTCCCAGTGCTAGTTGCGAAGCCTTTGCTGGCGTCGCCGCCTTGGGCCATTGGCCGTCGAAGGAGGTGCTTCTCGCGGAGATTGCAGGACCGGCCGTGCTGCGCTGGGAGGGCCGTGGGGGCCCTGAGATGAAAAGCGGTGCCGGGGCCAGCGTACCTGCACCGCTTGCTCGGAGCCACAGTGCTCGCCTGCCGTGCCTGCGGGAAACGTCCTAGCGACACTTGGCCCGTGGGCCCCAGAGGTGCGCCCGGGAGGCGCGAGGGCGCATCCGGATAGCAGCCACTCGGCGGGCGCGCTGTGGGCTGCTTTGCATTATGAGCTGCTCGGCCCTGGCTTTTTTTACTGCCGCATTTTTCTGTCTGCAAAACTGCCGGCCAGGTCCTGTCCCATTCCTCCGGGCGGCCTGGATGTTTTCAGTTGTCGTTGGACTGGTCCAAAGTGGTAAGTTGTTTTGCTTTCTGTTGTTTTCTTCTCTTCCCAAAAGGTCTTGGGCCGTCACAAAGAGCACTCTGGCCAGGTAAGTGGCCCAGTGTCAGCCTACATCTGCCCTGAGAATTTCTGAAGGGCTGGTATGTGGCAGCATCCTCTATACAGGCTGTCTGAGGGAGGCCAGGTGTCAAGCATTTCCGCGCCCAGTGACAGCAATAACTATAAGAGGAAACACTGTGTTGCTCCCTGGTGTTGGGGAAGCAATAATAGAATGGAAGTTTGGGAAAGTGAGGGTAATATTTACAGAAACCAATTTAGGGGTTCTGCTCCATCCTTGAAGGCACCCTCCTTGAAGGCATCCTTGAAGATGCTCCCCCATCTTTCCAACATGTGTATCCATTAACTACTAGCTTGCATTTGATTCAAGGCTGGGGATTAATTGGTATAATGGGAGTGAGTCTTCTGTTTTTGAATCCATGAAAGAAAAAGATGACAGCATACAAGTTTCTTATATCACAGTTGATAGAAGAATGAATGAATTAGTCACACTTAAGAAATATTCTTCAAGTCACCATTTTTTCTGCTTTTAAAGAATTCTTAGCAAACTGATCCCTCAGTGAGCTCGAAGGCAGAGACTGAGACACCAAGACAGAACCCTGGACAAAGACTGACAGTTTTCAATCATGGCAAGCCACTTCTGTCAGAATTACCTTGATTTTTTTGAGAGAACACTTTTTTATAAAGTGTATCATCCTCATTTTACCAGTGAGATAGTAATACCTGAACTCCCTAATTCACAAAGAAGAACTCTAGTCAAACAGTACAGGAAAAGGTATTTTGGCACTTCTGAAGTATATGCAAATGTAAGGTGGCAGTACTGTACTGTTAGCAAACAGTAAAACATATAGTAAGTAATACTAATAATCATCAATTTAAGATGGGTTCTTACTATTTTTAAACATAGGCCATTTATTTTCACAAATACAGTGATTATTGCATGCTTAATTTTTTTTTTTTTACTTTATCTGTTTGGTTATTGAGCCCTTAAATTATTTCAGAGATTTTCCCTGACCTGTCCTGTTGAAGGGGAGTTGTAATTGTTTTGTACATTAAAATAGTCTCCTATGCTTTAAATTGATGTGCCAGGTTGCTGTCTGAACCTAATTAAAACAGTCAAGTCTTAACCTTAATAAGTATTTATAATGGAAATATCCAGCTAGCTTCACTTTCTGTTGCATATATAGGTGTCTAGTATTTGTTTCAAAAGGAGAATTACTCAGTTATGTGAATTGAGAGCAGTTAGTGTAAACTTTTATCGTGTAGTTATTTTTTTGGCTTATATGTTGATTTCAAAATAAGTGAAACTTAAGGAAAGGACAAAGTAACATTCATTATCCATTCTCTTTTAAGTAGAATATGCATTTGTTGCAGGTTTTCCACCAAGCATAATTTCATCCTGTGTTAATAACAAAAGCATTTTTCTAGATTTAGTAAACACATACATACACACATGCATAAAATGACCAAAACATGTGTCAACAGAGTATATACTGTCACCAATACATAGGCAAAAGAAAAACTCCTACTTGCCTCTAGAATTTTCTAAAAATTTAATAATTTTAAAATATCCATTATGTTTGTAAAATCATGTAATAGCATTGTATTTCAATCCAGTGACTATAACTGATTTGAAGCAAATATTATGAATGGGCTCCCGTGCACCTGCAGTTGTGAAAAGGGAATGTTTATTTGAAATCAGAACAAGGCATCCTTTTCCCAGTCTCTGTCAATATACAAGGGTTTCTGATGTATACTGGTTTGCACTGCAGTTAAAAACATGCAAAAAATTTAAATTATAGCCAGTACAACTCAGAAAATTAGAGATCAGCATAAACTTGTACTTTCAAGATATAGCTACAAGTCTCAAATTGTATGTCTTCACAGTGAAAATTAGATGGTTAAAGCAGAATAGAAATTTAGGTATCAGTTACAAAAGGAATCTGGTTTCCTTGCTCAGTAGTTTACACCAAGGAAATGTTGAGGGCAATAAAGTCATACAAAAAGAAACCATAAAACGCACAACAATATAACTTCGGGTTTAATTTTTGAAATAGAAACATAGATCCCAGTACATAGTGGACTTTACTAATGAATAAATAGTGAGCAAGGAGGATGTTATTAATAAATTCTGAACATTTTCCTGATCCAGAAAAAAGTTACTGGAGTTTGTTTTTCAACTTTCCCTGGTGGAAATTACCGACAATGAGAGAAACAATAACACTATAAAATGTTTAATGAGTAACTGGAAAACACTAAAGAATACCTAGTGGTTAACATTTGAAGAGTTAATGTAACAACACTGTTGTTTCTTCATTTGCTAATTAAAAATATTTTTTTACTTACATTTTCATGTAATATATCAAGTGCAATACAGAGTGACAAATTTTTGAAGTTGACCATTTCTTTAAAAAAAAGTGGGAACTATTATTGCAATGAAATTTTACCTTTTGTGCATTATCAGCTATTTATTCTTTTAAATAATAATCAACTGGATTACACTGTTTTGTAACTCTAGTGTTATCTTACCTCAGAACATACTTCATAGCAAAAATGATCTCAGGTTTCTTTATGCTTATGTAAAGTGAGAGGATATTTATGAGAACCAAGCCTTCAGTTTAAAACTCCAGTCTTTCAAATTTATGTGTACAATAAGCATCCAAAACTAATTCTGTCTTAAAGCAACTGAGACACTTTCTGGTAAGAAAAAGTTTGTGCTGTATATGAAAGCAGAGTAGCTTGATATGATTTGAAAAATGCCAGAAAAATTCCTGACTCCAAAAAGCTCCTTTGCCTAGTACTAGGTAAGATGATTAATGGAAAACGGATAATTTTGTTTCTTAACATCAACTCTTTGTCCATGAACTCTTTGAGGTTTCTTAGATCTGCCCCCTCCTTTTAATATAATGCCACTAGGATAGACAAAACCTGAAATATCCTTCATCCTGTGAGCTTCCTAACCAGTCTAACCTAATCATCTTCCTAACCAGTCTAACCTAATCATTTCATACCTTTGTCCATATTTTACCTCCCTACTCAGGATTTTCCATGGTTCCCATTGTCTTCAGGCTCTTCCACATGGCAGACAAATCCCTTCCAGGACATTCCATATGGAACTCTCCAGCTCTTTATGTCTGTTTCATACCCATGCATGACTCCTTAAGGGAAGAAACTATCTGTTGGTTCTGTGTCGCCAAAGCCTAGCTCATAGTAGGCCTAATAAAATATATGAAATAAATGGCTCAAAAATAAGGTGAAGACAATAGTGATCAGTTTAAAATAGGACAACTAAGCAAATAAGCCCTATTCATGCTAATCTTCACTAGAATTTGACTTTGATATAGTTTCCTTTTAAAAATGAGTTATAAATTGAACTGCATAAAAGAGACTTATTTCTGCTTTCCCAGTCCACTTAAAAAAAAAGTCGCTTTTAACTTTACCAGCAAATCTTCAGCAAAGATAAAAACAGAAACTTACCATTTTTTACAAATTAGTTTTGCTTTCAAACTTCTGTGCTTATTCTTTTCATTATTGATAATTCTATGAAAAGTAACTCTGATCCTTTACCCTCAATTAGTATTTTAAAATTGATTTCTATTCAAATTATACAAACTGGAATTTATAGTCATTTTAATCAAATACTAAAAAACACAATGAAAAGACAAACTCAATCCACTTAATCATTGTTCATGTCGACTTTCTTAAAGCACTTAAAGCTTTGTGTCAGGCACTGCTCTGGGTGCTAGAGTTAAAAGACTAACAAGAGTGAACGTTTCTGAAGTATTTCCTGTATTCCAGGCACCTTCCTGTACACGTGGTATGAAAATATATTGTATCTTTCAATGCCCACAACTTTCTGATGTAGGTAATTTGATAATTCCTATTTTATAGGTAAGCAAACTAATTAAAGAGACCTTGAGTAACTTCTTCAAGATCTCCTAGGTAATAATCAATGGGATCAGAGTTCAGACTTGGGTGAGTATGGCTCTGCACTCTCAATCACCACTACAGTTTATCTCCCAAGGGTGAGAAGAGGCCCTACCCTGGGCCTTGCAGGAACCTGCATGGCTCTCTCCATGGGCAAGGAAGCCATAGGACATGCCTATCCAGAGTCTTCAATCTCCTTCTATATCATCTCCAGAATTTTCTGCCCAACAGCCCCAAACTACTTTTAGGGCTACACTGTGGGTAGACTGTGCCACCCATATGCCAAATCCTAGGAGGAGGGAAGTAAACAGAGCTTGGACATGCAGGCTAGGGTGTCCACCCAGGTAAGCGATAGGCCACTTGCAAAGCAGAATAAAGCTACAAGTTAAAGAGGAGAGGGGCAAATCAAGGGCTGGAGGGGTAACACTTTACACACTGCCAAGATCCCAACCAGAAATCTAAAGAGTCTGAAATTCTAAATTCAGACCTAGCCTTCTAGTGTATTATAGATGTATATTTATCAAGGTGGGAAAATAGAACTTATTTCACTTGGTTTCTTAGTCTGGGTTATAACTGTTAAATATTTAGTCTTGTTATGTGTACCCTCCACCATTTGTACTCTTGTATTTAACCCTAAAAATGTTAAGGGCAGACTTATCAAGTAATTTAAATATTATTGAGGCAAGGGTAGCAATGAAAGCAACCGAGATCACTGCGTAACAAGAACTAACTCATGTCAAGGTGCTTTTACATATTAGTAACTAAATGCCTTTTGGTAAACTCAAAGATGTATACATATTACCCTGAATCCTTTCTTGCAAATAATGCTAGAGTAAGGGTCTAGCATATACATATTTTTAATTTGGTTTACTTCTTAATTCCCTCTATTAAAACATGTCACAGAACATTTTATTGACACAAATTAGCCAAATTTGGTTGAATTATTCAGCTAGCATATATTTAACATCTATTAGTGAATGAATATGTAGAAAAAATATTTCCATACTGCCTTCATGGACTAAAAGGAT